ATCTCCCCAAAACCCCAAAACCCCAAAACCCCAGTAATGTATTTTATTTTGAATTTAAATATGAAAAGAAAGAGACCCTCTAGCAGCATGAATAATAGAGCCCAAGTCAGGATCAAGAATCATATTGTGGGAGCAAATAAGAATATTCAGCTCATGTTTACTAACCAGAAATTAATTCAGCCTATGTTCTCGTAAGAAATAATTTTATGAATGATGGCAATTAATTTCTGTTGATAATATTGCTGAAATAAGATAGAAATCTCTAATGTTCTGAGTTTGCTTGAGTTTTATCAGGGATTCTTAAAATTTATATTACAAGCATCAAAATTAAAACTTGATAACTGAAAATTAAAGCTTGATAACTGAAAATTATAGCTTGCTGCATAAAAAGAAGAATAAATAATAGGATGAGAACATTGATGGAAAGATGATCTAATCCTTCATATAAACCTGTTTGCTTGTTTCTTATTTATAGAATATCTACTTGGATGATCCTTATCATCAATCCTCATTCGAATCAACTAGCAAGAGAATGGGCAGAACAACTTATAGCGCTTGTGAGCAAACTAGAAACAAGATTGAAAAATTAGAAGAAGGCAATATTAAATTATTAATGCACAATCTTGAGTATGATTTCAGAGAGTCAAAACATCGTCTCAAGAATGTTTTTAACAATAATTCCAATCAATGAATCATTAAGAATAACGAACCTCTGGCCATCGATGTTCTTGAAGACCTAAATTGTGTGTAAATTATATGTCCTTGACTTAATAGATATAAAATTGAATCCAAAGATCAACTTGCTCCCTTAAAAATAAGCATGGTCTTTAACAAAGATGACACTTTATGTTTTACAAGAGAGAAGCTTCCCAAAGCAAGGGATATCAAAGTCCAAGTAAATCAACTAATCAAGCCATAGGTTTTCTTGACTGATGAGCTGAAGCCGATATATAAGCCAAACATGGTCTTAAAATAACAAAATGGCCTTTGTCATTGATCCTCTTTTAGGTATCTTAACATGAAAATTCTTTAGAAACATCACAGAAATTTGAAACAGATTTGTTTTTGATTTTCTCATCTGTCTTTGGGTGCTCCATCACAGTGAGGGCTAAATTCCCTGATGACAACAACACAATTATTCCTCGATATAAAACAAACTACACTGAAGATAGAAGACTTGACCATGAGGAATTTGCTGATCTTCTATTCAGCAACCAACCACACAAATATGACAGACTTATCAAGGAAATAGACACTGGAACAGAGATTTCGTTCGTTTTCAAATAAGATCAAGTACCAACAGATGCTCAAGAGTGGGATTATCCAGAAAGACGGGACGTCATTCTTAGAGAAGAACAAACAAAGTGTTTCTCTGAAGTAATTTCTCATATTCCTTAAACATTTAGAAAGACCCAGGCTAGTAAAGCAACTCTCAAGTCCCTCAAAAGAGCCAAATCATGACTTCAGAAAAAGAGGAAAATGGAAAGACAGAACAGAATAAAGAAAATCTTCTTGGCTAAAAAGTGGGAAATTATTAAAGAGAAGAGAATGCTCATGAAAAGGAAAGAGCAAATCTTGATAAACCATCAAAGAGCAGCTATCTATATTCTGAAACTCAGTTATCTCCATAAATATATCAAGAAGTTACATAAGGATTATGACCAGAGAAAATTTGAGGTTGCCAAACAAGGGGTCATATTTTCTTCAGCAGTTAAAATATTTATGGTCATAAAGCGCTACTTCAAAAAGCGTCATCCTGATGTGGAAGAAAGAACTAAGTTACAGCTCAGAAATTCAATTAAGTTTGGTAACATAATTTTTGGAGATACTATTGTGGCAAGATCTCAAGAGGTAATAAAGTGTCTTATCATACAGATAATCCAAGACCATCTCAGCAAAACAAGTGTATTTCACAACTTCACTAGACAATCAATGATTTTCACTGGGGCTGTTAGGATAATTCAGAAGGAATACAAATAAAAGATATAGCATCCATGTTGAGAGGATTAGGATACTTACAGACAACTGGAAAGGAGAGATCGGTAACATTTTTCCTTAATTCATTAGAACGTCAAATAAAATACAAAACAAAGACACTTAGTATGAACATGTAGCTTATCTTTAGGTAAAAAGAATAAGAACACTAAAAGAACTAGAAGGTAATTATTTCCCTCATTTTTAGAGAAATCAAGGCTCTAAATACGATCCCAGAGGAGTTTAGGAACATTGTAACTTTTGTATTTGAGAGTTAGGTCATCAAGAAGTACTATCAGCTGGCACTCATCAAGCATAAGCTCAGAATTAGAGAAACAGAGAATTAGTATATTTACAAATTTATTGAATAGTTTAATCCAACATTACGAAGAGAACATCACTCAATATGACAATGAAGGGCTTATTAAAGAGATTGAAGATCTTAAAAGGAAGTTATTTGGCAAGCCTGAAATGACAGTTCTTGAGATCGACTTCAAAATGTAGCATTTCAGCTTATTTATAGAGACCCATCCCCAAAGAAATCTAAGCCAAAGCATACAGTTGGCTTTGGAGCCACCACGGAGAGTATATTTACTCCAGATACCAGAGTCCCAAGATCGAAAAAGGTGACTAAATTATTCTCTAAAAATCTGGATGAGATAGAAAAATTTTCAGATGACAAATCAGTTCCCCTATATTACCCTGATTTTGAATATCTTCCATCAAACAAAGAGTTGCTTTTCTTAATCGAGAAAGCAAGAGATATGAAAGATCTAGAAGATGTTGATAAATCCAAGGAAGTCAATAGGAAGTCGAAGTTTGCAACAAGAAATATGATGAGAGTTGACCACAGATCAACTAGCTCAATGAGTCATTATTCATAACTTTCAACAATGAAAAACTGCCTCGGGGTTTTGGGGTTTTGGGGTTTTGGGGTTTTGGGG